ACCAAAACTTGGTTAGAGATTAGAAAAAACTTGGTAACCTGGAGTAAACTAAAATTAACATTTCTGGGTAGGATTTCCATTATAAAGATGAACGTGCTTCCAAAATTAATCTTTTTATTTCAAATGATTCCGATACTGGGTGAAGCAGGTTGTCTCAAGATATGGCAAAGAGAAATTTCCAAATTCCTGTGGGAAGGGAAGAAACCTAGGATTAAACACCTGATCTTAATAGACATAAAAGAGAGAGGAGGCTTTTCCCTACCCGACCTAAAACTTTACTACGAGGCAGCCTGTTTCACCTGGCTAAAAGATTGGTGCACGTTGCAGGATCCGGACCTCCTGGACCTGGAAGGTTTTGACAACCATTGGGGATGGCACGCCTACCTAATATATGGAAAAGCGAAAATTCATAAAAATTTTACCAACCATATAATAAGAAAGTCACTCTTTGCTGTATGGGAAAAATATAAAGACCTGATGGAGCCTAAAGTCCCGTGGTGGACTTCTCCAGTAGAAGCCATAGCAGTAAAACGGAAAAATACTCAGGAAAGCTGGCCAACATATAAAATACTTCTAAAAAATGAAGATAACCAAATAAAATTTAAAAAAATAAAATTTAAAAAAATTGAGGAAATAAGAGAACACATTTCAGACTGGTTCCAATACCATCAGTTATTTGAAAAATTTAAATCTGACAAACAAAAGGGGTTCTCAGTAGAAATTTCCCAATTCGAACCTGATCTTATAAATTCTAAAAGAAAAACTCTTTCCAAAACTTACCGACTCCTCCTTGACTGGACAGTCAAGGAGGAGGAGGTAACAGTGGCAATGGTGAGGTGGTCCCAGGATTTTGGCCATTCAATAACCATGGCCCAATGGGAAAATTTATGGAAGATCAATTGGAAATTCACAAACTGTTACACGATTAGAGAGAACTTTCAAAAAAGGAAACTTTCAAAAATGTATAAAAATGTGTCAAGTAATTGTTGGAGATGCGGAGACTCAGGAACATTCTACCATATGTGGTGGATATGTAGGAAAATACAGGTATTCTGGGAGAGTATACATGCAGAACTGCAAAAAAATGCTAAAGATCTCAATAAAAAAAAACCAGAGGCCTACCTCCTGGGAATAACAGATTTGGATATTCCACAAAAGAGGAAGGGTATCTTTTTATATGCGACGGCGGCAGCAAGAGTTTTGATCGCAGCAAAATGGAAGAGTAATGAAATCCCCTCTATACAAGATTGGATCCAAAAGCTGACAGAATATGCCGAATTAGATGGTTTATCAGAAAAGATAAAGAATAAATCAAAACAGGAATTTGTTTCTAAATGGGAGGTTTTCAAAGAATATCTGAAAAATAAATATAGTAGTTTAAATTCTGTTGCAGCATTCGAGGAACTTCAGTAATAGTTGGTTGGTAGGTAGATAGAAGAAATTAGATTTATTGAGAATAAGTTTAATTATGAAAATGTGTATTGGCAATAAGTAATATGAATTTGAAATATGGAATAGACGGGAAGCTGGGTCTTTAGTGTTAAGACCAACAGATGTTTTATTGTTTGCCAATAAAATTATGTGTCTATGGTTATTTTTGTAATTTGTGTGTAATTTTGTATTTGTGTTTTTGTGTGTGTGTGTGTTTTGTTGTATAAATAAAGATTTTTTTTTAAAAAAAAAAAGAAAGAGCAAAACCACTAGGGTTGCTTTGTCTGAGGGTTAGGATTGGCAGTGCTTATAGGTGAAGTGTGATTTCTCACATCTTGGATCTCAATCTCAGTTGTCTTTTTGAAACTGCTTCAAGCTTTCTGTTCAGTTTTTTTAAAAGCTAATCTCTAAAATGTTTACCTTTTAAACTGTAGAAGTCTCATTGTTCTCTGTTCTCAGTCTGATTGTATTCAATTGGTTACTGTTGCACTTTTTTGTGTGAGCCAATCTGGGGACCATTTGAGGGCCAGAAAGCAGCACAGAAGAAAATATTTCTTCACACAGCACATATGGAACTTACTCTCGCAGGAAGCAGTGATGGCCACTGAACCTAGTTGGCTTTAAAAGAGGACTGGACAATTCATGGAGGAGAGGGCTGTTGGCGGCTATTAGCCATGATGGTTATCCTCTGCCTTGAATCCTGCTTGTGAGCTTCCGAGAGGCATCTGCACAGCCACTGTAGGAAAAGGATGCTGGACTATATGAGTCTTAGGCCTGATTCAGCAGGCTCTTCTTATGTTTTTATGTTCATGCAAATACTTGGTTTGGTTGCAGCTTTATACAAGAAACTATTAACCTACACCATGGGCTCTGTGTTGGATTTAGAACTTGTTTGGGAGGGAGCTATAAGGCAGAATATAGGCAATGGTGTTTTTCATGTAATGTGATATGACTGGCCAATAAAATCAATCTTGTCCCATTCCAGGGAAAGTACACTTAAACTGTACAGGACCCCAGTACAATTGACATATAAGACACCTCATACCTGTTGATGAGGCTATGGTGCTAGGGGAAACATACTTTCACCTCTGGTGGAAGTGCTGCAAGTTCACATATTTTGATTCTTGGTTTGCAAAGAAATTGCTGCAATTGTTAAGGAGACAATTCAATTACTCCCTTTTCTTGCTCACCAATTTATTTTGGGACATAAAAAGATGGATGTTATTTTAAAAGAACTAGTAATCATCTTATTGGCTGCTGCGCACTTGTCCATCATCCAGAAAGGTAAAGCATTATGGTACAAGAACGTTAGGAATATTGCTATTCTGGAAAATGTGACACTCCATCTTTGAACATTGTGAGGCGCAGCTTCACACAGGTGGAGTTTTACTTTGTGCACGAATGAACATCACTTACAGCAAAACTTACACCAGCCTCCCATGAGATCTGGAATTCTTGAGTTAACTTATCTTTTGCCACAGTGTGTGATATATCATTTGTGCCATCCTTCATCCCCTATGATCCCTTATTGTTTTGCTTTTGCAGAATACCGTTTATTTTGCATTGAAATCAATATAAATCAATATAAATCAAAAAGGAATGTTAGGCAACGCCCTTTAGTTGATTTTTACCCATCATGAGCAATGAATTTAGATGCATGGATCAAAATTATTTAAAAGAATTCCTGGATTTAAGAAAAATAATAAGAGTGCTTTATAGCAGCCTGTTCTGGAAACAAACAAGTTCTGAAGTGAATAACATTCTCTCTCCTCAAAAAACAACAACACTGGAAGTGTTCAGCTCATACCTTCCCCCTATTGTGCCTAAATTTGTTCAGCTTCCATTGCAGCTCTGGAAATCAAGAATGCCAAGTCCATATTACTTCTCTCCCACAACACAGCATGCCATCAGTGCAGTGGGCAGTTTGCCATAAATATTAGCAGGCGCTTGAGTGAGATTCCTGTAAATGAAGATTAAAGGAAGCCACTTTGAAATTGGCTGAACTGGACAAAGTAGGGATTTCACATCCCTCTAAATATTGTAACACAACAAATACACAGCACAGCCACCAATTCTTTGATCAGCTTCTTTGTCACTTGCTGGAAAAAGGAGAGTTACTAAGGACAAAAATATGGAATGTACAGTAATTTCACAAAGTGTGTGTTGCTTCCAATGCAAAATATGATGGTTTCTACTATATAACATTTGAATCACAAGCTTCCATTCCTCAGCAGCTCCTCATGCATATGGATTCTTTTTCTTAACTTCTGTCACTACAGGTAGGTCCCTGAATTACCGGTAGTTACTCCTAGGAATTGGGAACACGTCAATCCCAATTTCCCTGCAGTTATCCTATTTCCAATCTTAAATTCAGTACTCCATACCTCCACATTAGTTAGCAATTTTTTTAAGTCAACATGAAACTTCATCAGCAAATTTCTCATGAAATTTCACCCCCAGACCACATCTTTGCAAAGCAATTTCCCCAATAAGAATGCATTTTGGTATGTTATGTTCAGTAATGAGTGGCCAAGAAGAGTATGTGGCCTGTGGGTGCAGGTGAATGTAAAAGCTGTGAACTGGATTTGGCCAAGGCCCTAAACCCAATCAGGCCAGTTCATGGGGATCTGGATGTCACTTGGATTGAGGCAACCCCAGATTGCCATGGATTGAGTTGGTTCAGAGCAACCTGAAGCTGTCAAGAAGCAGGGCATCAGGCAAGGAAGAGAGGCAGGCATTGGGTGGAAAGGAGAAAAAACACAAAAAGAGTAGGAGGGACCTACTTTACCAGCAACATCTTCCTGGGAGAAGGTAGGAGTTGGAAATGGATGCCTTTGGATGTGGAGTGTGGGATGTGGGGTGCAAGTTTTACTGCCAAGCCTCACCTTCCTGTCCAGTCTCTTCTTCTGATGCTCCACTCCCTGAACCAGTACCATGCAGGATCAAATATTTTGCTTGCCAGTTGGTAAGCAGAAGATTTGATCCCACAGGGTGCAGATTGCTGCTCATTCATGAGGGGCTTCCCTGTAGAGTATGAGCAAGATCAAATCCTCCTGCTCTTGGTCCAGGAGAAAGCAGGAGGAGATACAGCATCTCGTTCCCCCATGCCCTACTGTATGTTGAACCAGAGTTTGAAAGATTATTTTTTGCCATTGCTGGAAGTTGTAATGTTGCAAATTTAATGTTGTTATGTTTGCAGCATTGGTTTGTTGTTCTGTTGTCTTATTATTCCTGCTGTTATGGAATTGCTCTTGGAATGGTTGCTTTAGAGGTATATTTCTACTCTCTTTGTTGTAAGCCACTTTGAGCATGTTCAGTTTTGTGGCTGATGACCAGTATGCTTTTTAGCAAAGAATCACCACACTTGCACACCTGTATGCATCGCACCATGCAGAAACATCTACCATTGCCACCCAGTGTGCCTGAATGGTCAATGCACACACACAGAAAAATAACCATTGGTAGGGAGGATATACTAACATTCATCTGGCAACCAGCCAAGACATCCAGTCGGCGGGGCAAACCCTGCCAGGCTGGCAAACCTTCTTGCTTCTAATATTCTATTGCTCCGTGTGTTGGGAATTTTTTGTATGAAGGACACATGGGAATCCCTGCCTGCACTCTGAAAGGATACAGTGGAGATGCTGGCTTTACTATCTCATCTGTTGTTTGTGAGAGAGAAGTAGGTCATAGTGAGATGGTGAATAAAATTTCATGGAGATTGATCCTATTTGATTGGATGAAATATTCCTCCTTTGTCTGGCAACTTGCTTGAATTTCATGCTGTCTGTGTGATACATCATCTGTAGCATAAATATAAAACCAAGCAATGATATCTCAGTAGTGTGAGTTCATTTGCCATCTTAAAACCATGTACCTGACTGTATTTTAGTTTATATTGGGTCTCTATTAGTACCTGGCTCTCTCTTTCTCACTCACTCACTCTATATATTTTGTCTGAAATTGCACTTGTTAGATGGATTTCCCATTCCATATAAACACCCCCATACTGACCAGATTATTATTATTTTTAAACCCTCTCTTGATAGCATGTGGTAATGGTGGTTGTTTCTTTTCCCTGTTGATAACATTTTGGCTAATGGACTTTCTGTCTTTACTGTGCTTCAATAGTTTCCCCATGATCGTCATAGCAACTGGAATCAAAGCTGTTGTCCAACTGTTGCACAAGCATATTATGTCATTCTTTTGTGAGACAAGAAAATGACAGCAGCAACAAAGCTTACCATTTTTTTTAACTCTATAAAAAACGAACTTTTGCAAGTAAACATATAATATCATTCTATGAATGACAGCTTTCCTTTCACATCACCACACCACAGAAAAACTGACCATTAAAGCACACACACACACACATACACACACACATGCTTTATCAATCAACACAAAACCCATTTTTATTGTTAAAATCAAGAATAGCTCAAATACACTTTCAAAACAGAAGCACAAGTATTGTGTGCATGTGTATTTAGTTTGGGTTTTTAACTCCATTGCTCCTGAAAAAGAACTGTATATTCTCTAATCACGGTTGAAACTATATTTGTTGTGGATAGCACCTTTGCTTCTTCCTATATACATAAAAATGTAAGGTTGTCATCACGCTAGTACTTGTGCACATGCACAGCCAGCAGAAAGGGAAGAGCTTAGGCAGGCATGTGTGTGAGTCAGTGAGAGAGCTAATGTGGCCTGTGGGAAGCCTTTCTGCCTGCAGTGGAACTTTGTGTCAAATTGCCTGGGGCAGCCCCACAGAGAGTTCCAGAAAGGAGCATGGCAACATTCTCTGCATTCTCAGAGGCAGCCACAAACAAGTCAGTACCTCCTTCCTTGGATGGGAGGAGGAAAGGGTCCATGTGCTTGTTTTGTTGCCTAGACACTATAGAGCGCATGCCTTTAAAGGCTACAAAAGAAGGGCGATGGGGCTGCCAGAAAGGTTGAGGAGCCAAAGAGGGGGTTATGTAGTTTGTAGGAGTGTACCTGCGTGCACACACACACTCTGGCCAGGCCAGCCTTCTTGAGGAAAAGCAGCAACACCTCCTTGGTCCTTCCCAACTCTCTCTTTTTCATTCCTTACACACACAGCCCACAAACATTTTCCCCTCCTGATCATGGCTTTAAGACTAGCCTTCTGGATTAGGCCAATGGCCCATCTCATCCAGCATCCTGTTCTTACAGGAGCCAAACAGATGCCTGTAGTAATCCAGCAGGCAAAACATGAGCTCAACAGCACTCACCCCTCCTGCGTTTTTTAGGTAGTCGTATTCAGGAGCATTGCTGCCTCCAACTGATTGTAACTAATGCATAGCCATCATGGCTAATGGTCTCCAATAGCTCTCTCCTCCATGCATTTGTCCAATCCTCTTTTAAAGCCATCTAGGTTCAGTGACTATCACTGCCTCCTGTGGGAGTAAGTTTCATAGTTTAACTGCACACTGTGTAAAGAAGTACTTTCTTTTATCTATCCTGAATCCACTTCCTAAGCTTGGGATTGAATAGGATGGGACAGGGTGGGACAGGAGCGGGAGGGAAGGCCCACCTTGAGGTCTATGAAAAGTGGAGGAAAAATGTAAGGAAATAAATAAACTAGGCAGAGTATCAGGGGTTAATTGGTTTCATGTGATTTTTGAGTGACCAAGGAAGCAGGAATGACACAGAGCTCCTGGAGCAACACAAATCTACCTAATAAAATGGTCTGTCTTATCTAAACAAGTATAATTATCTGTCAGTGTTAATTATTGTGCTGTGGATTTATATTAATGGAATCCCATAAATTACGTCTTTCTTCCTCTGCCTCTGTCTTGTTCAATTTGTATGTAAAACATCTCCCCTGTGTTTAGAGGGTCACTGTCTAGAAAATTCACAGCACAGTCCTATGCATGTCTACTCAGAAGTAAGCTCCACTGAAATCCACTGGATTTCCTTCCAAGCAAGTTTATATAGGATTGCAGCCCCAGGCTTTTTTGAAAACAACACACACACACACGGGTCTCCCAAAACAGATCAATACAAACTGTTCAGGCTAGACTTTAAGTTTCAGCTAAAGTCACATATTGAGCTTTGAACTTCCTTGCACACAGCTGGAATAACTTCTCAGAGTCTCCAAAACTGCGTTGGACCTTCACTGCTTCAACCAGCTTGACACTCTCCTGGGAATGAAGCATCCCACTTCCACCCAAATGTCAGTCTGTATCATAAATAAAAGATGGTTATCCTTGCACTATGTTATTTTATGGCTTCTGTAGCGAAGAATGGGTCATGGATTATGAGAGTGGAGCAAGGAAGTGCCACAGCACAATCTGTCTTCCCTCCTTTGCTGCGAGTGTGCATTCTGCAGCACTGTATGCTGTCCTGGGTGATTAACTGGGGCAGTTCTTTGTCTCTGCTTTTCAGCAGAAAAGATAAGCCATTACATGAATCCCAGCAAAGCTTCCCACAAACAAGCTTGATGTTTGTCACTGGAGAATCCATAACATTTTCCACATGAATGGCATGCCTCAGGTCCTCAGGATGCTGGAAGTTTTTCTGTTTTAGGCAATTGTTCGCCTCTTAGGGTTTAGAATTACACTCTGTTCCCAGTGCTGAATGAGGCAAAGAACATGGGATCAAGAACTATACGTAGACAAAAGTGTAGTAAAGTCTTTATTGTTCACTTATTGCATTCATAGCCCACCTTTTCCTCCAAGGATCTCAAGATGGTGTATATGGGCCTTCTCCTTCTCCTCATTTCATTTTAGACTGAGAAGCAGTGACTGGCCCAAGGTCACCCAGTGAGCTTCATCATGGCCAAGTGGAGACTGGAACCCTGGTTTCTGGGGTCCTAGACCAACACTCTACCCATTCCTTCACACTGGCTCTCCAAAATGGTCAGTTTTTATTTGCTACAGCTCAAAAATTTCAGCACAACATAAGATGCAGATCTAGATATCAGACAGCACGCTGCTGACCAGTGCCACCACCCAATCAAATATGGTGCTGTAAAAGTTGATAGGGGGTAGCAGAAACCTCAGACCTGCCTAAGGTGGGCTCTCCCTGAAAATTGGCTGAAGCAGAACCAGCATGGCTTCTGTGAGGAAAAGTTCTATCTCACTAACCTTTTAGTGTTTGTTGTGACAGCGAGAGCAAGACGCAAGACTGGATGGGTCTTTGCTCTGGTCCTCCTCCCAGCACCAGCATCTCATCGAAGAAGCACTGAGACTACACAGTTTTGCCTGTCTAGCTGGCCCTGCACTTGGAACTGGCAGCATTTCTGAGGGTGGTATTCAACTAAACACTTGTGCTAGCACATAGATTCATATTAGCACAATGGGATTCCCCCTCCTCTCCTTGTGAACGACCCACACCACCCCCAAATTTGCTCCAGAAGTTTGAGCGAACACCCAGAACAGATTTAGGGGTGCATGAGGAAGGAAAGGAGGAGACAGTTCTGTCATGCAAGGAGAATTCCTTCCACTGATAGAATGCTCTCCTTAGTTCTACTTTGAATAAAACCCAGATAAATTATCTTATCTTACTGACATAGTTTAGTTTAGTTAGGAGATTACAGTCAAGTAGAAACTGAGGCAGAGAAGGGGAAAGGGAAAGGAGGCACAGCAGGAGAGGTAACCTTGAAAGCTAATAGTTTATCACCATCCAAAGTAGGAGAGTTGGAGGATCAATGTAAAGAATTTGCAAAGCACTGTGCAGTGGTTATTCTTTGAGAATGAAGTGGTGATGTGATTTTTGTTTTCAGCTAAACATCTGGAATCAGTTTCTACTTAACTTCTAGCAATCAAAATCTATTATACTGAAGATGTCTATAAGTTATATTAAAGCTGACAACAGTTTATTGGAATTTGACAGCTTTCAGAAGGTAAATGAAGGTAAAACCACTTTCTTAAAGGGAACAATATATTTAGCCCAGCAGGTTTTTGACCTCACAATGATCCATTGTGTTTACCTGCCAACCATTTTCTAGAGGGGGGTAGAATTGCCTTTGTCATAGTTGAGAAACACACCACTTTGTTGACCATAACTTTATATGAAATAACCTGGATCATTTTTCACCTTTGAAAAATGAATAGCGAAGCTGTTTGCTCTTTACAGGAGAGAAACGAACCAAGCATTAGTTACAATCAAACATCTGACAAAATGCTTCGCACAGCACTGTGGGGTTGGCAGTCCAGGGTGCAGATAAAGATAGTTTCGCTGGAGCCCAGAAATGCAAGATATGGAGCAGGGGGAAAGATCTGTTCTTGTTTTAATCTGACCCTATCAAATCCACACTTCCCAAACCAAGACACAAACTCGAATGCAACTATTCTTCAAAATTCACACTGAATTTTGCAGTACAGTTCTACAGTCAACAGATCTGTATAAAATGTGTGTGTGTGTGTGTGTGTGTGTGTAATAATCTTTATTGATTTAAATTACACACATATACAAAGAATTTACAAAGAATTTACAATCTCATACTACAAAAAGAAAATTTAAGAAAAAAATTAAGAAAAAAGAAAAGAAGAAAATACAGAAAAAAGAAAGAAGAAAAAGCAGATTTACTTGCATAAAAAAGCTTAATCTTCCTAATTAATACTTAAATAAAAAAGACTTCTGACAAGATGAGTCTTCCAATCATTCTCATTGTACTGTTTATACTGTCATCTCTTTCACACAGTTTTATATTCTTTAATATTGTTCCCATCTACTCCTCAAACAGTTTTTGTTGTGTTTACAAGTATCACTCAAGTTCTGCTAATATGGTGTGGTTGGTACAATATGATCTTATATAATCCTTAAATATTCTCCATTCTCCAGATATTTTCTGGATCAATACTCCTCTAACTCTTCCCGTCAGTTTTGCTGTGTATGTGTATATTAGGTGGAACTTGATTCTGCAGTTGTTGCTGTCCCAACCAAAGTGCCCAGTGCCACAGCCTGTGATGTGTTTTGGGATCACTTTCCGTTTATGCAGCCTGATTATATGGGTCAGGTGCTTGCAGCTCTATGCCTGATCCTGTGCCCCCTTCATCTTTGTCCCTCCTGGCTTATTAAACTTGCAGAGGAGGTCTGTCTGACTGGGTCTGCAGGGTGGTTAATGCTTCATTGTATCATGGG